GAATGAATGAGCCTAGCTCCCCTCCTTTCCACCATAGAGTTGGTATTAATTTGCAGACATCAAGACACTTCACCCCTAAATACTTATACAGATATCTCCTAATTTTCTCCCATTTAACCTCAATACCATTATCACAACTAAGAAAATTAATAAGCATTCCCTAATACCATCTAGAACACAGATTATATTCAAATGTGCAAGAACTCTTTCTTTTGAAGGTCTCATTGCACATCATATCAAATATATTAAAATATATCCCTAGCACTGTTTTTCTGAAAATTTGTTTTAATGATTTAGCTAAAAATAAACCATTTATTTTGTAATCAGCTAATCTCTCAGCAAGCATGGTACATGGTCCTTTTGAAGTGAAATAATCTAACCTATTGATTTAAAATATAATTAATGTGGGTTTTTGCCATGGCCGGTGTGACTCCCATGCACCAAAAGAGCACTGGTTCAATTCCTGGTCAGGGCGCATACCCAGGCTGCAGTTCAGTCCCTGGTGGGGTGCATACGGAATCGATGTTTCTCTCTCACATAGATGTTTCTCTCATGTGCTCGCTCCTTTCCTCTCTCTCTAAATTCAATAAAAATGTATTGTTAAATATATATAAAATTAATGTTTTATGAATATTAATGTTATCAATTGATAACGCCTGCATAATTTTTAGTTTATAGACATTTAAATGTTTCTTAAATGTTGTTTTCATATTTTGGGGTCAATCCTTTTTTATTTTTTTTCAGGTCTTCAGAATTTGCCTTGGTCCTAGGCATGGTGCAGAGCTGCCTACCAGCTTGCCGGGGCAGGAGATAGGAGAGGGTGACTCATCCTGTGGCCTCCAAAATAGAAATGGATTTCAAGCCACAAACACACAAACACGTCTGCCTCCTTGAGGCAGCCGCCAATGCCCAAGTTCCAAAACCTGGGCTGAAGCGAGGCGTCCTGAGGCTCAGAGGGGAAGAAAGGGTGAGAGATAAAAGCTGCTTCTAGGAGACAATGGTTTCCTCCGGTGCAGCCCAGCCTCAATGGGTCCCCTCTGAGGGGAGGAGGCTCTGAGACAGTAGTTACAAAATGTAATCTGAGAAGCCGCACTGGTCAGAAACTCCAGGTTGGGACCCACAGTTTGGAAGAGTTTGGTAGCTTTTTGTTTTGTTTCTGCTGTGGAGGATATCTGAAATCACGAGTATCTAATTTAAATTCAATTCATAAAACCTACTCTGGCTGTAGGAAATTTAGGGATGATGGCTCTCATAAGACAAAAACACAATAGAAAGTGGAGAAGTCTGTATTAGACACTTTCTTAATTGAAGGAGTCCTATTTATGCTTCCAAGAGGATTTCATTAGTATAAGTCAACCTTAATTGTGTAAAGGCATAAAAAAAGACAGGTATTATTATAATTGACCCCATTTTGCAGATGGGAAAACTGAGGCTGGGAGACATTAACAAATAGATCCAACTGGTTTGTAGAGGTCTTGCTGAGATTCAGTTGGTAGAATTGGATGAACCTTGCTTGCCATGATGATTCAAGAGAAAAAGATGAGGATTTCAAGTATTTTAGGTGTGTGTGTTTTTTTCATAAAGAATTGCCTTTTTTTTTCTTTTTTTAAGCTTAGCAAAGGAGTTAAAAGCAGAGTGACTTCATTTTTACTTTCATATAACAAAACTCCCAGAAGACGCATGTTCTCAGCAAAGTCTGAATGCAATACTGCTATGGTATCATGCTGGGCATGAATTGCTCGTTTCCAAGAAGCATGACTCAACCATCATATCAGGAATGTTTTTCCTCTTAAAAGCACTTGGAGCCAAATTGTTAAAGAATCAAGAGGAATCACTTAAGGATATAGGGATCATCAAATGGTGAACACTTTAGGGAAAAGGGTGGTTGTGGAGGAGACAAATTAATCAAAAGCTAGATGCTGACTGTGAAGATGTGAAAACTATTATATGAAATCAAGGCTCCTAGAAGCAGAATTAATGAAAGTAGTTTCCCCCCGCCCCCCACAGTAATATTCTAGGGAGAAATGGAATGAAAGTGGGGGAATTAAATATGCTTCATTATTTTGAAAACACTTCATGATCTATTTCTAAATCCAGTGTATGCTGATACTTGCATTTAATGACTGTCAAAGTCACAGGGGGGAAAAAAGACCACACAAAGATCCTCGGGTCCAAATAGAACATTATCAACCGGGCTTATTAAACCTGAAAATGGAGTTTCCAATCCTGCCCACCAACTACACTAAGGTTTTTACTGGAATTCATTTGCTATATTTCCCTGTCCCCAATTCATTCTTAAAAACTAACTGGATGTTGCATTGACATTTTTTTAAAATATATTTTTTATTGATTTTAAAGAGGAAGGGGGAGGGAGAAACATCAATGATGAGAGAGAATCATTGATCGGCTACCTCCGGCACACCCCACCCTGGGGATTGAGCCTGCAACCTGGGCATGTGCCCTGACCTAGAATCAAACCGTAACTTTTTGGTTCATAGGCCAACACTCAACCATTGAGCCATGACGGGCGGGCTGCATTGTTAACAAATAGATCCAAACTCTAGTGTAAGTCTTAGTTTGAAACATTTTGAAACAGAATGGGAAATTCAACTTTTAAAATGCTCAGATAGGAGCCCATTTACAAGTGACACAGATTTCAGAAACAAAGCCCGGCAGATGGGAATATTTCCCAACAGTCACCAGGAAGGGATAAATTGTGTTTCTCTAAAACTAACACTTGCCCTAGCTGGTTTGGCTCAGTGGATAGAACGTTGGCCTGTGGACTCAAGGGTCCCGGGTTCGATTCCGGTAAAGGATACATGCCCAGGTTGCAGGCTCAATCCCCAGTGCAGGGCATGCAGAAGGAAGCTGATCAGTAATTCTCTCTCATCATTGATGTTTCTCTCTCTCTCCCTCTTCCTTCCTCTCTGAAATGAATAAAAATATAAAAAAATAAGTAAAACTAACTCTTAAAGTGGCATAGTCCTTAGTATGAAATACATCCCAGACACCTGTCCTTAGAGAAATGATGAACAATTTGAATTGTGTCATTTTGTGAAAGAAAATGTCCAGCCCATCTTTCAGTGGGTTAAGTCTTTCTCTGCCATAAGATACCAGGGAATCATCTAAATGGCACCAAAAGAAACACAACTTCTTTACAGTAAAGCTGGTTTATTGAACTTCATGAGGGAAATGTTACAGTGACATTATTCCACAACAAAAGCATTGTTTAGATTTCATAAGGAAACATAGCAGTACACTGTCAGTAAAGAATTGCCATCCATAGCTAACTACATCAGATTCTGGGTTAGCTTCCTCTGGTGTTCTCAAATGGGCATCTCCAACACATATCTGATGTTTTCCATTAATGGTCACAGTTCAAATAAATTCACATAGGAGTTACAAAATGTGTGATTTGTGCTTTAAAATTAATAGTTGTTTGATAGTCACCATTTTGAACGTGATTTCTCAATAGCCAATGAAGTATTTTATAAACATTTTAGAAAATATCTAAAAGCTGTATCCATTCAATTAATATGTATGCTCTTTTAAAGAACAAAACATACATAGATCAATGAAGTATTTTATAAACGTTTTAGAAAATATCTAAAAGCTGTATCCATTCAATATGTATGCTCTTTTAAAGAACAAAACATACATAGAAAAAGTTAAAATAAATCATTACAAATGAGATACAAATAGCTTTAAATTAATAAATATTGAAGTGAAAAAATAAGTCCTTTCACAGAACTATAGAGAATACTTCCTACTAAGTTTTTACAAAAAGAAATAAAGTTAATTTCCTTTTTTAAAAACCATTCATAACATAATGAAAAAAACATAAATGTGCTTGAAAAGTCTGTAAACTTTCTTTCCCCACTCTAGAAAATGTTTTGAAAAGCAATAAACAGATTCCTTTCTTTAAAAAACGATCACACCCATCACAATTATTACAGTTGTCACTGTTTCAAATAAACATTAATTTACATAAAGTCAAATCATTTTTAATTTTGGCATTAAGAAAAATGAATTAATCTCTCTAAACACAAATAAAACCCACTTGATTTCCTTAAGCTCTAATATTTAAAACTGAACAATTATTTTCTATAATTATTTTTAGTTAGTTCATTTAATATAATTATCTCATTTTATAATTAAATTATCCAGTTAGGACCACCATGATGATAAAACAAAAATCCTAAACTAGATTAGATACATATTTAATTGGTTTCCCACATTCTGAAAATATTGTAAGTACAATCATCTTTTGGCTTGATTTCCTCTAAAATGATCAAGGACAGCAATCCATCAGAATGAGTCAATGTGCACATTTCAGTCAAAACTCATGGCTTACATTCCATTCATGTAATAGTTTCATATGCAAGCTTACTATTTTCTATGTGCAAAGTCTTACAAAGTGAAAATATTTAGGGTAAAAAAACTTTTGAAATGTTCTTTGTCCCACTGAGGGACAGACAAGATTTTTCAATATCTAACTTGATTTTTATACTGAGGAGGAACAGCATGTTGTGCCCATAAATTTAGATTTTAAAAATGGATCTACTGTAACACAATACTATTACAGGAATATATGTACACTCATAGCAATTAGAGGTGTATTCTCAGAGCTACAATCCAAATGGAAGATGATTTGTTAATTCAGCCTTGAGTCATTAAGTTGTTTGGGGATGGGGGCAGCAGGAGATACTATCCCAGAGACACATCTTGAAATTACCAAAAGCTAAGACTGTCTCCTGTGATAGCCAGGAACCATATTTACCTATATTCCCCCAAGTTACAGCAACTCGTATGCTTTCGATTCCTTTTTTTACTGTTTAAAGATTTCATAATAAAATATAAAGCACCTTATGTCACTTCATTTGCACTAGAATTCGACTTGTTTTTGCGTAATTTTAATAGAATTTAGTAAGAAAACAATTCAAATTACTCTTAAAAATAACAATGATCTCTGCAGAACTCATTGGCATTGATTAGAAATATTAAGTATCTAGAACTGTTGGGAAAGTCCTTTAAGAATTGAGACATTCTATGCCTTCTCCTCCCACTGGAACTAAAGTTTGGCTCTAAAATGTACCAATAGTAATGCAATTAATCCACTAATAATACAAAAAGAGAACTCCAAGGAGAGGCAAATACAAGTTCTGATCCTACTGAGAATACTTCCCAAAGGACACACCATGAAGTGTGCACTAAACCCTTCATATTGTTTTCCATCTCAGGAACACAGGCCTGAGCAGTCAGACTCTGAAACCCCATCGTGCTCTCATCTGAAGCCTCCCTCACTGGGCTCTGATGGGAAGATGCTCTGGTCACCCTACCTTTGCTTCATTTTCAACCTCACCTGAAAACCAACGTTTTTCTGGTGTTGTCAGTGGCGATCCTGATTACGTAAAGACCAAATACAGAAGTGAGCATGACGATGAACAGTGACGTGCCAGGACGATCCATTATATCTGAGAGTACATCTTATGACTATCACTGTTATACTTCGCAAGTGTTTCTTTAGTCAAAATCCCAGTCTCATAAAGACTGTTACTTAGCACCAGCACGTCATCGCGGGCTTTGGTTCAGGCTTCAGGATAACTCCGTTATCAGGGGGTTGACTAAGCATTAATGGTTTGTGGCTCTTAAGCTTATGAGCCAAGGTCATAAATATGGCTTCCACGTGATCATTATCATTGGGGTTTTTAGCAGAGGTTTCAAACAAAGGCATACTGTGCGTGTCAGCAAATTTTTGTGCCAAGTCTGTAGGAACCTGAATGGCACTTCTTAAGTCACATTTATTTCCAACGAGAATCCGTGGTATATCATTGGCTAGCAAATGCTGTTTGCATTCTTCTATCCAAGATGGCAGGCTATGAAAACTAGCCATGTTGGTCATGTCATACACGAAGACAACAGCGTGCACATTTCTGTAGTAGTGCTGCACCATGCTCTTTCTGAAGCGTTCCTGTCCCGCTGTGTCCCATAGCTGGATCTGAAAATGAAAAAAAGAGGAAATTGAAATTTCAACTTCAAAGAGGAAATTTCATTCCAATGATTCATATTGAAAATCTAAGTCACCTTTGCATGGTCTTTAGTACTTCTTCACTTATATCACTTAGTTCCCTTCCATAATGCCTTTTCTGTGTTATTTATGGGATCTACATTTCATGATGCTAGTCTACAAACCTCGTAATTAATGCAAGTAACGGAATATTTCAATTGAGCATTTAAATCTCAGTAAATCAGATCTGACTGGATGAAATTTTGCTTCAAAAAATGATTTTTAAAATATTAAGAGAAAACTATATCAGATTTTAACAAACATTGTCTAATTGCTATAAATTTGGTTACTATATGCCCTTGTCTACCTTTCACAAGGCTAATTTAAAATAGTAGACTTGTCCAGGCCTGTGTTTCTCAGTGATTAGAGCATCGGCCCCCACAAAAGGTCACAGGTTCAATTCCAGGTCAAGGGCATGTATCTGGGTTGTGGCTTGCTCCCCGCCCTCAGTTGGTTGGGGCAAGGGCAGGAGGCAACCAGTTGATGTGTCTCTTTCACATCAATGTTCCTCTCTCTCTCTTTTTCTTCCTTCCCTTTCTCCTGTTCCCTCACTCCCCCCTTCCACTCTCTCTGAAAAGCAATGGAGAAAATATCCTCAGGTGAGGATTAATAAAAATAAATAAATAATAATAATAATATAATAGACTTAACACAGATATTAAGAGTCATGGGGTCTAACCCCCAAATTAACAAATATATACATTCTTTGAAATCCAGGCCCCCTTGAAATTTTTTTAAATCTAGAAAATTACTTATCTATCCCAAACATCTCTACCAACGAAACTATTACATTATCTCTTAGTGGAAATATGGGGGAATTGAGGAAAATTATATCTAAAACTAAATATAAGTCATATGTTCTTATCTCAAAACACTGAATTATCCTGCCTTTGTTTATTCCCTAAAAAAAAAAAGGAGTTACTAGTAAATGATGAGGGTTTACTGGCCACAGTAGAAAATACTAGAATCAGATTTGCTTAAATAACTTTTAACTGAAAGATGTGTACAATTTATAGATATTCAAAGTATGGACTAGAAGCCTAAACTGGTGACTTCTCATAGAGCAACAACCGAGGAGATATTGTAAATGGTCCTTAGTAAATGCCTCGTTAACTTAGTAATTACTTTGATGGCTCTCCAATAAAGTATGAAGTTATTATTTCATACCTCTTGTTTCCCGGATATCTTGATGTAATTACAATGCACAGAGTTTTGAGCAGGATTGATGGGAAGAGGAGTATGGGTGAGTCAATCCCATCCCAAAATAAAACAAACAAAGGTTGTCTTAGGGATCAACATCCTCCTCCTCATTACTTACACTGACGGAGGACTTCCACAGTTCTTCGAGGCAGGTCTAAATTCTGTGTAATTTTTTTTTTTATGTTTCATGGATGTAAAAGAGATACATGGAAAACATAATAAGATAGAAATAAAGAGGGAAATTGCCTTAAAGACAACCATTGTTAATATTTGGGTATATTTCCTTTTCATGGGCTTTTAAAAGAACTTATAGACTGTGCTTCAAACATTACAAATCATTCTTCATTGATGATATCACTTTTGAATACCTGAGCCACAGAAAATGCTATTAAAAAGAAAAGATCAGCTCCAATTTTTTTGGACAGCTTTTACATGAGTCATCCACATTATTTCCAAAATATCTTTCGAAATGTTAAAGATACAGTTTGAAGTGGGCTTTTTTAATTAAAAAAAAAAAAAACCACACACCTGAGATATAATTCACATATCATAAGATTTACCCTTTTAAAATATACAATTCAGTGGTTTTTAGTGTATTCCCAAGGCTGAGCCATTATCATCATTATCTAATTCCAGAATATTTTATCACTCCAAAAAAAAACCTATACCCATTAGCAGTCACCCTCTTCCTTCCCCTGGGTGATATTGAGGATAAACAGGAGAGGCAGATTTGCCAGGAAAGATGGATTCCTTCAGACATTTGAGCAAAGGAGGGTTGTCCAAACAGCCATGTCTAGAAGACAATAGGAAATGCAGAATGACAGAGAAGGAGACAGGTCTGGCCCAACCAAAGATCTGGAAGTTATCTTAGTAGTAGAAGTGACAGCTGAAGTGAAGAGACGACTCCTAAAGGAGAGAAGGCAGAAAGAAAAGCAAGTAAAGGGACATCCTGGGTCTCCCCTGGATTCCCTCTATGAATCATACACACAGGGTGTCCCAAAAAGTGTGCACACACTTTGAATAATTATAAAGGCAGTATGTATTAAAATACATTTTCAAAATGTAATAGAAATCAGCTGTTAAAGTGTGTATACATTTTTGGGGGACACCCTGTATATAGTACTTAGGAACAGATGAACAAATATAGACTTCATGACATTTCCTAAAACATCACTGCTCAAAAAAAAACCAAGGGAGCAGCATAGGTAAACACCGGAAATTGCTGCCTCGCACAACCACTTCAAAAATACAACTAAAAGACAAAACGGACATCATCCAGAACCACAGGAAGGCTGGCTGAGTGGAAATTCTACAACTAGAAGGAAAGAGAAAAGCACACGGAGACTCAGAGGAGGTGCAGAAGTAAAGTGCAGAGGTACGGAGGCGCACGTGGAAAGGGCTGGCAACTGAGGACACAGTTGTCTTTTCCAATCGGGAGGGAGACACACGCTCCCGACGGCCTTGGACTCCAGTTCTGGGCGAGTCTCTGGGCACCCAGACTCATACGGGGAGAAACTGGACTTTCTGGCATCAGTCGGAACTCGAGGGCGGCTTTCTCTCAGAGGTGCTTGCAGCGATTTCCGGGACACTGAGACTCGGGGCCTCTTAGGGTAGGACTGAGGATCAGCCATAGCTGTTTGCTACGCCCTGTTGATTCCCTGAGACCCTGCCCCACCCAAGCTG